GAAAAAACTATTCTAAAATTCATATGGAAACCAAAAAAGAGCCCAAATAGTCAAAGCAATCCTAAGCAAAAAGAATAAAGCTGGACATCACTCTACCCAACTTTAGCCTATACTATAAGGCTACAGCAACCAAAACAGCACCATACTGATACAAAACAAAAACAAACAAATGAAACAGAAGAGAGAACTCAGAAATGCAACTGAATACCTACAACCAACTTTTCTTTAGCAAGGTTAACAAAAACAAGCTATGGAGAAAGGAGCTCAAACAAGCCATGTACAGGAACTCCAAAGTGGACTTGTTTGTATAACAGCATGTGCAAGGTGTGTAGTCCAGGGATGGGCAGCCTACTGTCTATTATGACCCCTTTGAACTCCCCCACCCCCCGTGTCTACTGTTTTTGAAATAAGGCTCAGGACAGGCTTTTGGGGTGACCCAAACAAGGTAATAGCTAGGACAGAGGAAAAAGGAATTCCCGAGCAAATCACCCTGAACTTCGATGGTGTGAAACAAATATCTGCCAAGAGATGTACTGGTGTCAGGAATGTACCTACTGGTCATGTATAGTTTGGGCCATTCTCATTCTTGGAAAAGAATGAGAATGACCCTGTCCTCCTTTGGAAGGGGAAAAAAATCCCTCCTGGACACTGTAATCCATTAGGATTACTAATCCCTTAAACCACTCTTGGAAAACAGGGGAGCAGGTTACCTTAGGGATTGATGAGACTGGACTCAACCCACAGGCTAAGATTCTAATTCGAGGGGAAGTCCGAAGGTGTTCCACCAAACCAGTATACCAAACTTTTTATGATGAGTTAGGAGAGCCAGTACCAGAACTCCTGAATAAGACAAAGAATTTGTTCCTTCAACCAGTTGAAAATGTAGCCCATTCTCTTAATGTCACCTCTTGTTATGTATGTGGGAACTATCATGGGAGACCGATGGCCATGGGAGGCCCGAGAGCTGGTGCCTTCCGATCCTGCTCCTAATGTAACCCCAGTTCAGAGCATCCAGACTGACAACTTCTGGGTCCTAAAGACCTCAATCATTGGACAGTACTGCTTGGCTAGAGAAGGGAAGGACTTCACCGTCCCTGTAGGAAAACTTAGTTGTCTAGGACAAAGGCTGTACAATGAGACAGCAAAAGCAGTTACCTGGTGGGGTTCAAACCACACTGAAAAGAACCCACTCCAGAAATTCCCCAAGTTGCAAGCTGCAAGGGCCCATCCTGAATTCTGTTGAGATTGGATGGCTCCTACTAGACTGTACTGGATATGTGGGCATAGAACTGAAGAGGGAGACCCAGGCATCTCAGATCAACTTCCCCTTTTTCCTAAGACTGTAAACTTCTAGGCTGGGCACAGTGGCTCAAGCCTGTAATCCCAGCACTTTGGGAGGCTGAGGCAGGTGGATCATGACATCAAGAGATTGAGACCATCCTGGGCAATGTGGTGAAACCCCGTCTCTTCCAAAAATACAAAAATTAGCTGGGTGTAGTGGCATGCGCCTGTAGCCCCACCTACTCGGGAGGCTGAGGCAGGAGAATTGCTGGAACCCGGGAGGTGGAGGTTGCAGTGAGCCGACATTGTGCCACTGCACTCCAGCCTAGCACCTGGTGACAGAGTGAGACTCTGTTTCAAAAAAAAAAAAGACTGTAAATACCCCTTTTCATTCCTAAGACTGTAAACCAAAGCCCTTTTCATATGTAATTCCTGAGACTGTAAACCGAGATCCTTTTCATATGTAATTCTTAAGACTAAACTGAAACCCTTTTCATATGTAATTCTTGAGAATGTAAACCGAGACCCTCTTCATATGTTAAGCTGTTAACCTAAGATTCTTCCACGTGTAACATCTAAAGTACAAGCCTATATAAAGATGGAACCTTCCTTTGTTAGGGGAGCTTGGCTGTTAGGCAACTATGCCACCTTGCTCCCAGCCGAATAAACTCCTTCCTCCTGTATTTGTTGTCTGAGAGATCCATTTCCCGCGGCCACTCCTGCTACAGAGCCTATGCCGAGTTACCTGACAGATGTACAGGTAGCTGTGTCATTGGCACCATTAAGCCGTCCTTCTTCCTGTTGCTGGTGAAGACAGGTGAATTATTAGGCTACCCTGTATAGGGGCTTCCCAAGAAAAGAGGAGCCTGGCCATAGATAATTAGAAGGATGACAAGTGGCCCCCTGAAAGAATCATACAGTACTCTGGGCCTGCCACATGGGCACAAGACGGCTCCTGGGGCTATCGGACCCCCATTTATATACTTAATTGGATCATCCAATTGCAGTTTGTCTTAGAAATAATCACTAATGAAACTGGCAAAGCCTTGACCCTTTTAGCCTGGCAAGAGACCCAAATGAGAAATGCCATCTATCAGAAGAGGTAATCTGTTCAGAAGAGGTAATCTGTTCTGATAGATGGCATTTCTCATTTGGGTAGTGCTGGCAGCTGAAGGAGTGGTTTGTGGAAAGTTGAATCTGACCAACTGCTGTCTGCATATAGACAAGCAGGGCCAGGTAGCTGAAAACATTGCAAGAGATGCATCAAAACTGGCACACATTGGCCGGGCGCGGTGGCTCACACCTGTAATCCCAGCACTTTGGGAGGCCGAGGCGGGTCTATCACGAGGTCAAGAGATCGAGACCATCCTGGTTAACATGGTGAAACCCCATCTCTACTAAAAAATACAAAAAATTAGCTGGGCATGGTGGTGCGTGCCTGTAATCCCAGCTACTCGGGAGGCTGAGGCAGGAGAATTGCCTGAACCCAGGAGGCGGAGGTTGCGGTGAGCCAAGATTGCGCCATTGCACTCCAGCCTGGGTAACAAGAGTGAAACTTCGTCTCAAAAAAAAAACAAAAAACAAAAAACTGGCACACATGCCTCTGCAGGTTTGGCATGGGTTTGATCCAGAATCTATGTTTGGGAAATGGTTCCCAGCTTTAGGAAGATTTCAAAAGTACACCCTCATCATAGCTGTACTACTGGTAATAGGTACTTGCTTACCACTCCCCTGCTTGCTACCCTTGTTTCTCCAAATGATTAGAGGGTTTGTTACCACTATAGTTCACCAGAAGACTTCATCACAGGTATACTACATGAATCGCTATCGACCGGTCTCACAGAATGACCTAGAACGTGAAGGTGAGGATGAGAATTCCCACTAGTAAGTAAGTCAGGTTCTCAAAGTGGGGAAATGAGAGAAGAGATCCCTCTCTCCTGTCTCTTGTCTCAAAGGAGGAGGAAGTAAGAGTTGAGACATAGCAGGGATGAAGTCAGTGGCAAGGACAGCTGGCCCTGCTGACCTGGCCTGGAGGTTAAAGATTAAACCCCCACCCTTAATTGCACTCCTATCTATAGACCACAGGTGTAATATGGAGAAACTCTGGAAAGCATTGTTCTTGTCCAATCTATCTACTTCATCGATCACGACCCTGTCACATGTACTTTCTAGGATTGTAAGCCTCTAAAAGGGATAGGATTTTCTTTGTCGGGGAGCTCAGTTCTTGAGACTCAAGTCCGTTGATACTCCCAGCCAAATAAAGCCACTTCCTTCTTCAAATCTGGTGTCCTGGAGGTTTCGTTTGCGGCTTGTCCTGCTACAGTGGAGGTAGCAGTGAACCAAGATTTGCGACACCACATTTCAGCCTGGGCGACAGAGTGAGACATGGTCTCCAAAAAAAAAAAAAGAAATCAGGTTTAGAGATGAGGATAAGGAAGATGAATGGTGGTGGTGTGAAGGAGTTAACAGCTACTTGTCGCCATGACATAAAGGAACTATTCAGAATAAGGCCCCACAATTCTACTTGCTCAGGGCCACTGACCTTATAGAGATCCCAGACATATGTTTGTTCAGCCTTAAATCTTTCCACTGGCTTGGATCTTTCCCACTTTCTGTGGCCAACTCTGAGGTTGTCAAGTTCTTCTACAAATAAATCTGTTACAAGTTATTAGTCTGGAAGTTTTGTAATGTCTTAATTAATGCTAATGTAGTATTTGATTATTTATGGTAGGAGTGGTTAGGTGTGGGGAATCTGATAATAGCTAAAAGGACAGACAGATTATAATTTTTTTTTTTTTTAATGTCAGGGTCACATTTTGTCTCACGAGATTGATGGAGTGAAGTGGAGTGAACGTGACTCACTGTAGCCTTGAACTCCTGTGTTCAAGTGGTTTTCCTGTCTCAACCCCTCAAGTAGCTGGGACTACAGGCACATGCCACCATGCCCAGCTAATTTTTATATTTGTTTTTGGGTAGAGATGGGGTTTTACCATATTGCCCAGGCTGGTCTCGAACTCCTGCGGCTCAAGTGATCTACCAGCCTTGGCCTACCAAAGTGCTGGGATTATAGATGTGAGCCACTGTGCCTGGCCTACATGCTTTCATACAAGCTTTTCAATTATGCATTTTCCTTAAGTAGGAAGTCTTAGGATCCAAGTTATGTCTGATTACTGTAGTCTATGTTCCCATATTCTATCCCTATTTCTGATTTTTCAGTCATGAACTATCATATCAAGGAACTCATTCTGGGCTTTGTTACGTGGCTGAGTTGGCTGGACAAGGGCCAGGTCTGATCCTGGAACTGTGGCATGGGATGACATACACCCCCTCTCCACATTCTGTATGTCTCTAGTGGGGAGGGGGAAGCTGGCAATAGAACTTGATTGTATTTTCTGATTGCCTCACTTATATGGCCCCCCAGGCCCTCTTTTGTCCCTAAAGTAACCAGAGACAGTGCTTCCTAGAACCAACCTTACAGGAAAGAAAGGGATAAACAAAGCCAAATGGGAAGCAGGATCATGCTTTGAACTCTTTCTGGGCAGAGAACAATACCTGGTATGGACTAGGTACTGGGGGAGGGAAAGGAAAAGGAAGGTGAATTATGGAAGGAAGCTGGCAGGCTCAACGTTTCTGTCTTGGCATGATCAGTCTCTTTTCATTTTTCTTCCTAGATGTAGGGCTTGGTTCCAGAGCCCCTGAGGCTTTCTGCATGAATATAAAGAGGTGAAGCTGAGTGATGCTTCCATTTCAGGTTCTTGGGGGCAGCCAAAATGATGTCCTTTGTCCCTCTGCTCCTGGTGGGCATCCTGTTCCCTGCCATCCCTGCCAAGCAATTTACAAAATGTGAGCTGTCCCAGGAGCTGAAAGCCATGGATGGTTATAGAGGCATCTCTTTGCCTGAATGTGAGTTCTCTGCTCCCTTGTTTCATCTGTTCCTTGTGTGTTTCTCTCCTCCATCCCCTCCTTCCTCCACTTCTTTCCTCCACTTTCACTTAATTATTGAATTATCTTCTTTTCTGCTCATTTGCATGCTCTTTTATTTCATGTATTTATTTATGATTTTTTTTTTTTTTTGAGATGGAGTTTTGCTCTTGTTGCCAGGCTGAAGTGCAATGGTATAATCTCAGCTCACGCAACCTCTGCCTCCAGGGTTCAAGTGATTCTCCTACCTCAGCCTCCTGAGTAGCTGGAATTACAGGCACCCACCACCATGCCTGGCTAATTTTGTATTTTTCGTAGAGATGGGGTTTCACCATGTTAGCCAGGCTGGTTTCAAACTTCTGACCTCAGGTGATCTGCCCTCCTCAGCCTCCCTAAGTGCTGCAATTACAGGCGTGAGCCTTTGCACCCAGGCCCTTTTATTTTCTTATCCTTTATTTCTCTTATTGTCTGATGTTCTTTTTTTTGGAACTCTCCGTCTCATCTCATCAAGGTACTCCATCTTTGGCGATTGACTGGAGAGCATTTTTATGTCTGAGAACTACAGTTTATCCTTTATGCGGGTCACGGACATCTGTGTGATATCTCTTTCTCATCTTTCCCTCAGTCATCTGTACCATGTTTCACACCAGTGGTTATGATACACGAGCCATAGCTGAAAACAAGGGCAGCACGGAATATGGACTCTTCCAGATCAGTAATAAGCATTGGTGCAAGAGCAACCAGATCCCTCAGTCAAGGAATATCTGTGACATCTCCTGTGACAGTGAGTAGCCCCTATAACCCTGTTTCTCTGTTTTTCTGAGGCCTGCCCCTGGGATAATCTCCTTTTTACTGTCAAGCAGACCTCAGGCTTCATGGCCTTGCCTGGGCTCTACAAAAATTGTGGGACTTAAATTGGAAGTACTGAGTAAGAAGTAAGAAGTAAGTAATCTGGGTTTTTTGTGGTCACCAAATCCCCAGACAGTTCTCTGAGGTTTGCGGATAGACAATCTGAGCTGTCTGAGAGTCTTGGAGTACGATTCTCTGAATTTTCACGATAAGTCAGTGGATGAAGCTGATGATTCTTCCAGAGATATCCTAGGGAAATGAAGGAAGTCCCTTACCGAGGGTTAGACATTACCGTATTGGTCCTTTCATATAGAAAGCCAAACAAGCCTTGAGTTTAGAGAACCCACTGGATCCAGGGATTAGAGGAACTCATTGCCTTTCTGGGTAATACTTCTCAGCTCTCTAATTCCTTTCCCTGTAACTCCTGCCAGAGTTCCTGGATGATGACATTACTGATGACATAATGTGTGCCAAGAAGATCCTGGACATTAAAGGAATTGACTACTGGTGAATCCTTATTCTATTTGCTGATTCCCATCGTCCTTCCCCTTCCCCCATTAGCACAGCACCACTCTCCTCTCACTCTATCTCCTGGTCATTTAATCTAGAATATAGTCTCCAAAACAAAACTTACCTAGAGACTCAGGTTTCCACGTTTAAGTCTCCCTGACTCCACTCCTTGGTAGTAACTTTCCTACAAAGGGGTTGCCTGATGGAGGGCTCAGACCCAGAACTCCTTTCACCTAGACTTGGACATCTAATTCCACTCGTTTAGTTCTATACCCCAAAGTAAGCTGTTGGTATCATTGCATATCTTTTCTAACCCTACAATTTTCTTAGATTATTTTTTATGGACTGTATTCCACTTGATGGCTTGTGTCCCTTGCCTTCAGGCCAGGAGTGTCTCTCTGTAATTCTCATCCACACTCTTCCACTTCAGCCCTCCTGGGAATAAATCTAGGTGGAAATTCAAGCCAAGATCCCGTCAGCTAACTCACCTTGTCCCCTTCTTCATTATCAGGTTGGCCCATAAAGCCCTCTGCACTGATAACCTGGAACAGTGGCTTTGTGAGAAGTTGTGAGCGTGTGCTGTCCTTGCCAGTCCTGCCCGGTCCACACTCCCGGAATGTCTCTTCCCTGATGCTACCTCAGTTTGCTTCTTTCTTTTCCCCTAAAGCTTATCTGACTCTGAGCCTTGGGCCCTGTAGTGACACCACTGAACTCTTGAGGACTATTTTCCAGGGATGCCTGAGTGGTACACTGAGCTCTAGACCCTTGCTCATTGTCCCCGATGACACTTTCACTACAGCACAGATTTCACCTCTGTCTTAAATAAAGGGCCCAATTTGGAGTCACTGGCTGTATTTTTTTTCCCTTGGAGGGAAGGGGAAGAAATAGGGTGAGTGGGTGGACTCTGAAGCCATAGGTCATAGCCACCTTCCATCTCTACTGAAGAAGAAGTAGGCTGAATTTACAATAGAAAAGTTAAGGTTACTTTCTATACCAATTCAATGCAACGAACTTTTATTGATCACCTAATCTATTCAAGGAACTGTGGAGGGATCCAAAGTTGACTGAACACTGGTCGAGCACGGTGCTAACGCCTGTAATTCCAGCACTTTGGGAGGCTGAGGTGAACAGATCACTTGAGGTCAGGAGTTCGAGACCAGCCTGGCCAACATGGCCAAACCCTATCTCTACTCAAAATACAAAAATTAGTTGGGTGTGGTGGCAGGCACCTGTAATTCCAGCTACTTGGGAGGCTGAGACAGGAGAAGAATTGTTTGAACCTGGGAGGTGGAGGTTGCAGGGAGCCAAGATCGTGTCATTGCATTCCAGCCTAGGCACTCCATCTCAAAACAAACAAATGAAAAAAAAAACCCAAAACGTGAATTTGGCTGAATGGCCTCTTTCCTCAAGGACTGATGGGAGAGACAAGATAAACATTAATAAATAGTTATACTGTAAGAAAGAGAGTTATAACCATCATGAGAAAGGTTAGAAATGTGCCCTGGGCATTCACAAAATAAAAGATAATTTATATTTGGAGGAGATGTTGGGAAAAAGAATCAAGAAAGGATTCCTGGAAGAGAGAGCATTTAGGCTGGTTTTAAAGTCTGTGTGGGATTTTGACAAGGGGAGATGTGGGGTGGGGACAGGGAGAGCACGGGTGGGAACCCAAGAATCTATAATGGGTGACTTGAGGGGTTGAGGGTTTTCTTTACCCTTCATGAGGAGCTGTGAAAGGAACTCTCCCTGTCTCTGGAAACCAGAGACAGAACAGGGGCCCTGACAGTCAGCTCAGTGATGCTGAAGAATCTGAGATCTTGGGGCCTTTGGGTTTGGACCCTCCACTCCATTATTTCTTCTTGCTCTTTGCTTGTTTTTAAGGAGAATGTTTGGAGGACTTCATTCATTTTAATAATTAAGGAATATGTGAAAGAATAAGAGTCAGGAAATTTGGGTCCTAAAATCTGTTTCTGCTACTCATTGATGGTCTGAACCTGGGCAGGTCATCTCCATTCTCTGTGCCTCAGTTTCCTCATCTTAAAATGAGGGTTTTGGTTTAAATAGTTTTCTGAGATCAATTCCTTGCCTTAAAATCGGCTTTCCAAATTACAATTTAATTTACCACACTCTGCAGAACTGAGAATGACATTCGTATTGTTGCTCAGCTCCACTGCCCTGGCCTTCATCCCACAGAGAAGACAGAAAGTTCACCTGTGAGAAGTGCACCATATATGAGTTCGGGATCTTCAGGAGCCTTTGCTGAAGGAACTGACAATAAGAGATTTAACTGTAGAGAGAACCTTAGCCTGAGGTCAGAAGATCAAGAGCAGATAGAAGCCAGGGAACTGAAACCGAAGAGGTCTTTTTATTTTTTTAAAGTATTCATTTGTTACAGTGGGTTATGACACAAATGTTTATAGATGCCTACTCCGTACTAGTACTACAGAGCAGTTTTTATGTGTTTCTACTCAGTTTAATTTTAGTGTGTTGAGTTGTAAAATAATCTGTGTATTAAATCAAATAAACAAACAAAATGCCATGTTCTTTGGTACAAGCAACACTACAAAAGGCCTTTGGGGTCTGCATTTGGAATTCTCAGGCAAATTCTCTCTTGTTCCTAGCCTGTACTTATTTTCCCCTCATTGGCTTATATATATTTTTTTCTTCTTTTTTTTGGGATGAAGTTTCACCCTTGTTGCCCAGGCTGGAGTGCAATGGCATAATCTCGGCTCACTACGAACTTTGCCTCCTGGGTTCAAGCGATTCTCTTGCCTCAGCCTCTGGAGTAGTTGGGATTGCAGGCATGTGCCATCGTGCCTGGCTAATTTTTGTATTTTTAGTAGACACCGGGTTTCACCATGTTGTCAGGCTCGCCTCGAACTCCTAACCTCAAGTCATCCACCCATCTCAGCCTCCTGAAGTGCTGGTATTACAGGTGTGAGCCACCGTGCCCAGCCTCTGCATTTTTTTATTTCAATGTCTAATGTGGTGTTTACTGAATTATGAATTCTTTTGAGAAAATAAATCAATAAATCAATGCCTTGCCTCCTTTATCCAGTGAGGTATGGCTAGATCATCTTTACGACATATACATCAGCAGTCTTCATCTCCTCCTCCTCCTCCTCCTTTTTTACAAATAAAAATCGTATACATTGAAGGTGTACAACTTGATGTTTTCTTATATGCACACACTTAAATGATCACCACAATCAAGCTAATTAACATACCATCACCTCACGTGATTACTTTTCTTTTTGTTTTGGCATGGAAGCAGGCTTGATAGATAGATGCGGTTCTCTTGGCATTTGGGTAGAAGCAGGACAGGAAACTGCCGTTCACTTCCTGAGAAACAGCTGAATAGGAGGCAGCATGGCCGCTGAGCATCTGTTCTGCTTTCTCCACCTCCTCTTTCCTTTAGGTCTAACATGAAGCTCTAAGCCAAGCAGAGGTCTGAGGTCATCCAGAGTAATGTGGGAGGTGGGGAGGCTCCAGGCAGTGGCTCTTAGAGAGCAGACCATTACTGAACTCTGCGTGAGAAAGACTCCAGATGGTGCACAGCACAGCAGAGTTTTGTCTTCTCCTCTTACCATGCTTTCTCCTCCCTGCTACTTTTCCCTGATACCTGTCTTGTTATGAAGGCAGGAATTACATCAGATAAAATCAAATATTTCTTTCTTTCTTTTTTTTTTTTGAGACTGAGTCTTGCTCTGTTGCCCAGGCTGGAGTGCTGTGGCATGATCTTGGCTCACTGCAACCTCTGCCTCCTGTTTCAAGCCATTCTCCTGCCTCAGCCTCCTGAATAGCTGGGATTACAGGCATATGCCTCCATGCCCAGCTAACTTTTGTATTTTTAGTAGAGACGGGCTTTCACTATGTTGGCCAGGCTGGTCTTGAACTCCTGATCTCAAGTGATCCTCCCACCTCAGCTTCCCAAACTGCTGGGATTACAGGTGTGAGCCATGACATCTGGCCTCAAATAGTTATTTCATGTTTCTTCTCCCAGTCTTCCTTCTCTCTCATCCATTCACTTTTTTCATTTATTGAACACTAATTGAGAGCCTATTGGGTGACAGGAGGTACTAGACCCAGGGACACCAAAGTTAGAGGTTTTGCTCTTAAGACCCTTATTCTTTAGAGGGAGATACTCACCTCCTCCCATTTCTTGGGATCATGCAAAAGAAAAGACTTCAGGTGATCCACATTCATTTTTTTCTTCACCCCTTGATTTGTCACCAAAAGGTTATTGGGGATATGCTATTTTCTAGGCACTACTTTATTCGTTTATTTAGACATGGGTCTCACGATGTCGCCCTGTCTAGAGGGCAGTGGCTGTCCACAGGTGCGAGCACGGCACATTACAGCCTCGAACTCCTGAGTTTAATTGATCCTCCTGCCTCAGTCTCTCAAGGAGCCGGGACTACAGGACATACCCCCACACCTGGCTTAGGCTTTACTTTAGCTGCTACTTGTTAAAGATGAAGACAGGAGGAGACACTCTTATTTTAGTTGATTTGTTTCTAAGTTGTTATGGGATGTAGATCTTTCCAGGGACATTTTGGCATGAGAACAAAAGAGGAGTTGGGTCACAGTGCCAAGATGGGACTATCCCAGAATCCAGCAAGACATTTGCTAGTGGTCTGTTCGGTTGATTTACCTTTTGTGTATAGACATAAGTAAAAGGGAGAGAGAGAAGCAGGAAGAAGAGAGGCAAAAAAAGGCAAGAAATGAGAGGAAAAAGCAGTAACTATAGAAATGGCCAGGGATGCCATGAGGATTTTCTTGTTTAGTGACTGGGCCCCCTGTGATGGGTGCTTCCTGCTCTGTGACAGTTTTCTCATTGCCCTTGGCTGGTAGCAGGGCGTTGGAGGAAGAGAAACGAAGGTCTCTGTTTGGAAAGCGATGAATGCTGAGACAGCTGAGTGGTGATAGCTCTTCCTCCCTCTTCTTCTCCTCGTAACTTTTTCTCCTGCTGAGGCAGGGGTGCTGGACTACAAGGGAAGCCTGGACTTCCTGGCCAGTATCTTCCTCAGAGCCACTTTTACCTCTTGGTTCTTCAGACTGTAGATGAGGGGGTTCAGCAGAGGGGTTATCACACTGTACTGCATAGAGAGTACTTGCTCTAGGGCTGAGCCAGATGCTGGAGTCATATACCTTGAAGGGAATTGCACAGAAAAGCAGTTTATGACAATAGTGACAATGCTTACTTTTGGCAGCAACACTCCATCCCCTCTCAGCAAAGACTGTGAAGGGGGTCCTCAGAGCTGAGCTGTCACTCTCTGGTGGCAGCATCTAGAAATGACTGATCTGTGAAAAGTCAGTCATTTCTGCCTTCAAATGCTTCCAAACATGAGTGAGCTCACACAGAAAGTTATAGAAGCTGCTCCGAGGAACAAGCAGTTCTATAGTATGTCAAGGGCTGTGGGTTAGAACAGAATTAATTTTCGGGACAGATAAAAAGTAAAACAAAAAAAATAAAATAAATAGCATTAATGATAATTTCATACATTTCCATACCATTTTATACTCTTCAAAGCGTTCGTTCTTAATAGCTATGATGATCATACGAGGAGTTTTTCTCTTTGTTATTATTATTATTTTTTTTTTTTTGAGACAGAGTCTCACTCTGTCGCCAGGGGCCAGGCTGGAGTGCAGTGGCCCGATCTTGGCTCACTGCAACCTAGGCCTCCCAGGTTCAAGCAATTCTCCTGCCTCAGCCTCCCAAGTAGCTGGGACTGCAGTCACACACCACCACGCCCAGCTAATTTTTGTATTTTTAGTAGAGACGGGGTTTCACCATGCTGACCAGGATGGTCTCGATCTCTTGACCTTGTGATCTGCCCGCCTC